ATCATCGCATAAGGAGGAGAGGTGTCGAGTCTGCTCTTTATAACTGCACCTTCTGCACTCGAAATGACCCACGGGGAAACAAAGCAGAAACAACATACGAAAAAAGTGACTGAATATTCCACTTTCGTTATATAAATTTAATGAAAAGCCGTTCAATCGTTAAATTACAACTTGGGGAAATTATTTTAACAATAGAGTTTTCTTCGCGTCTTACACCTCTAACAATAAGTAAAATATAAAACGACACACGAAGACAATTTTTACTATAATTTGCCTTTTATTTATTGACAAATTTTGTGCTCGGCATTCATCCTTAAAATTCACATTTTATAATAATCCCCGCCGATACGTGAAGTCAGGGGTACCACATTTTTTTTTATATTAAACAATTAATCCTAAGACGTTAAATTTAACAACGAATGCAACAACATGTATTAATGTACAATACACCGATAATAGACAAATCATGCTGGTCGCAAATATGTATAATTCGCTATATCACATGTCTTTGAGATACTAAATTGACAATATCAAATCACATATAAAAGATGTGCACCAACGAAATATTGACTTAATATTACGGTTTACTCGATTGCCCAAGTCCTTCTCTCCCGCGCTTGTTACACTCACGCAGGAACGTGCTGACAAAAATATAAAAAGGACAAAGTAACAATAGCACAAACGCTTTTTCATAGATGATAAAAAAAAATCACTATTTACCCTCACACTCTCTATTTCTCATTCTCTGATGGTCCACGCGAAAGAAAATTGTTCGCACGAAAGGCGAAAAGTTGCAAAACGCGATCATAAATATCTGCAATATGCAGTACCTATTGTTAGATAAGCGTGCCAAGTAACTGGATTCCTGTTACTTTCACTTATCGACTAAAAATCGACCAAAATCATCGATTAAAGTAATCGCTAATGGTAACTGCAATGGCACTTGCTCTACTTTGGAGATTCTTGTTGAAATACAAATTATTTATGGTAATGTAAGTACTTCTTGTCCCCTCTTAACTAAAGAATTTAATACCTAGATACAGAAGATTTAAGAATTATTAAAGTTTAAAGTAGGATCTCAGATGCGTACAGATCCTACGTGAATTTGCCGCCCAATCACTGCATTTGCTTTCAGTAATCACTGAACGAGTCGACGTAGTTAAAAGGCGTTTTACGATTATTACGCTAAACTTAATTTCTATTAGAGAAAGTCCTCGGTAGATGTTACTGTCGCTTCTATCAACAGCCCGAAATCCAATTCTGCAAGACTAGCTGCAAAGTGAAAGTTACATTTCGTAAGTGCGCTTAGGATAATTGTGTGTCGTTCAATTAAATCTTACCTTTCGCAGTAAGTAAATCCAAAAAGGTGTCCAGTGGTGACAAACGATCTGCCGAAGGAAACGCCGCCAAGCCTGAAAACAATTTACGCGTGTTATCGTACAGATTGCATTTATCGAAATCCCAAGTAGAACAAGTTAATCACAAAAACGCCAATGTGACATTAAAATGATGAATTTTACGTCATAAAATGATGTAACATCAAGATTTACTTTGCAATGACCGATTTATAACATGCTGTTTTATGATATTCGCGATGTGTATAATATATTATTACAGATTACATGATCAGTCATACATTATGTTTATCTTATATTACTTCGATTTATTTTTAATGTATAATATTTAATTAACTTTGCTTTGTAAAACAAGATCATTTTTACAACATTTTGATGTCTTAATGATGTCACAAACAGGTCTTGGTGGGCTATTTCGACGTCACCATGATGCATAAAAAATTATCAAAAAATGATGTCATCTTGACGTTTTCATGACTAATATGTTCCACTTGGAATATTATTCATATGTATATATATTCTTCTCACTGTTATGATGATTACGGTGTTGTAAAGTCCGACTGCCGGTTCGACTCTGGGACACCTCGCCGCACAGAATGTTGGCAGCGTGTTCTCTGGCTCGCAACATTAAGCTAACTGGATGCAGCCATTGATTCAAAAGTCTCTTTGCGCGAGACCGTGGCAGCAAGGACAGCAACTTCAATTTCTGAACGACATTTTCTTTCGTATCGCTGATATCTAAATGAAAGATCGTCTATGTTGAAATGTTCGTGCATAGTTCCTCTACCTAGTTTATGCTTGAAGATTTGTGACGTACAAGAATACAATTTTTTGCTGCACACGTACCAGCTAAGATAATCTTGGTGACGTCCACTTGAAGTTCAAACACCGAGCGTTCAATGTACTGCAGAAACATTGAGTATTTGAGAGTACGGTAGCCGAGGTAAGTGAAAAACGACGCGAATCCCTGCGGTGCTGGGAAAGCGATGCTCTCTATGGCGTACCTATATCGCTGCAAGAGCATAAACAATAACCATCGTCTCGCTTCGTCCAACTGGTCTCTGCAAGAATTAATATCACGAAGGTATTCAATATGGAGCAAACAAATGCTCGACAATCAATACAGTGATATACAATTGCGCTAAAATAGGGGATTGTCTTACACGAGACTGAAGCCACGTTCCTGCTCGATTCTCGGGTCAACGCCGGCTGCTCTGCAAAGTATTTGACACAATATACGCGAAGCTTCCAACTGCGCGGCCACGTATCTCGTGGCCATGGCGTGAACGTGCAACGGGGTGCAAGAACCACGCGTGTACATGGTCGACGTGTGCGTGCCGTTCTTTAGAAGATACATCGAAAGTTCCCGCAAATTAACGGACACAATGTGCTCCTGCTTCGAGGCGGTGCAGCTCTCCGTCTCGTTAAACGGTAGGCCCGAGTCCAACTTGATGTTTCGATTGCCCATGAAGTCTCCAAGCGGCATTGCAACAAATCTGCAATGCCATCATTTGTCGAATGACCATCATTTACGAATCTATATTATAAAAAAAGTTCTGTACGAAGGTAAAATGCTCATGTTAATTTTACAAAATAAATCATTGTGTATAAATGACAGAGATATATAAACTACAAAGAAAATACAAAAAGTTAAATATATATTTCCGATTCTTTATCCAACAAACACTAAAAGCGCGGTTTGGAACTTGCATTACTTTCACGTTAACACGTGCATGCAGTTAGTTATATGGAACTAGGACACGAGTAATGTTATTACCCTCCACTTGGAGACATCGGAGTGCTGCATCTGGACAACGCTTCTGGCTGATAACAAGCTAAAGAAACCAACAGTTTCTCCGCGATATTACTAGGTCTGAATCTCAGCTTGTCGCTACCATTTTTACTCAACTGATCCCACAATCTAGTCCACAAATCGCTACGATAAGGAACGAGCCTTTGCTGCGGCGAGAGCAACATTACCGACGTGTTCCAGAGTTTCTCGTGGCTCAGCGTGATATCCAGATCGTTCATCTTTATATCGAACGTCATGTAATCCCCGATGGTGGTAACGGGCAGCAGTGACAGCAAGGGGACGGTATCCGCGAGGAGATTCTTCTGCACTAAAGCGTAAGAGTTGCCTATGAGGATTTCCTGCATAAAGCGCGGGATATCCAGGGAGCGGGGCTTCTCCGCGACGATGGACATCAGCTCCGCGATTGTTTCCATGTCGTTTTTGTGGCAGAGAAAATAATGGAGTATCCCCAAGCGGATCTCCGCCGAGGTCTCTTTGCGAAAAACCTCAATGAGAAAGTCCGGGGGGATCGTCAACTGCACGAGGTCCAAGGTGGGCAAATCTATCGTCAGTATACTCGCGTTGGAATTCGCGAGCAAATTATTCCCCTCCGAACTGCCCTTGCCGTCTGTATTATGGTGCGAGTTTCTTCTTGCGGCTTTGTTAGCATTGTCCAGGTCGAACAACGGCACCAGATAAGAGACGCGGGATGGAATCGACGGTGGCGGGCCGCACAGTATGTGGCAGCAGGGCTCGTGGTTCACGCCGATCTCGAGGAGGTGCGCGAACAGCCCCGGCACGAACACGATCATATGGTGGCTCTCGTAGATCGCGAAGGTCGGCCTCATCAGCTTGGCGCGCGACCACGAGATGCCCGGTATAACGCAGTGGATCACGCAACTGTGATGCAGCAGCGTCACCGAGTACGCGAAGTGCACCGTGTTGGACTCGTTCAGGGAGTTGAGCACGTGCTGCGGCGGCTGTACGGGCCGGTAAAGATAGTAGTGACAAACGCAGACCATCCCCTTGGTGTCGGACACCACTATGAGATCTAGGGAACAATCGTGGACTCGCAGGGGTATCACGTCGTCCTCGTAAGTGCCGCAGCTAGAGGACGGCGACAGTAGCGGTAAGTTTAGTGGGATATTCAGCTAAAAAGATACAACGAGTCTTTTTTACGCCAATGCAATCGCCATGCATTTTGCTACGGAGTTCAATTTAGCAGGCACATGAGATGTAAATCTAATGTTACATTATGTTAATCGCCTCTATGCAGACTGTTAGTAACAATCGCAGATACGTGCAGTACCGGCCAAAATTATATCACCTTTAAGTTTTCTGATAACTTTCGTCAAAGTGCGTCGAATGCGTTTTCAAAATTGTACAGCAGACACTTGATAACAGGTGCATTTTGTACGAGACGAAGGGTAATGAAATTTGACGAAGTACACCATGATTCTCGCATTTTTCATTTGTACACTTTAAAACTAGTTATGCTAAAAAATCGAGAGGCAATAATTCTGGCCGGTGCTGGAGATCCAGAACTTTGGCCAAACGTCGTTCTTATTGACGAATGCTCACCACTGTCTCGTGAGGCAAATTGTCGTGGAATTGCAGCCCGCTGAGGGTCGGTTTCGAAGACCTGGAATTATTCTCGTCGTCGTCTTCAGTGACCACGCTCGTGGGAATTCGTCGATGGTGTATGTGGTAAAGGACCTGGTTAATCATATCCCACTGGGCCCACATGAACGTTTTTACAAGTGTTTCGGATTTCAGTTCCTTTATCGGCCTCGGGTGGCTTACGGACGTATCGAAATGGGCAGCATACGTCAGAATACCTTGAGACAACACAAATCATAAGGATGTGGCCAAGCGATTATATCAATTAAATAAAATTAGCATAAAATTCGAAGGTAAGTTAAGACCATAAGAGTCAATATAAATGAAATTGTTCGCTAAAACAATGTATTTAACTTAGCACATTTAAATTGTATAAGAAAGAGGCGAACGTTTCGGGCCGCTTTTGGTCCCTCTTCAGCGCACACAATTGTAACGAGATCGGGAATAAAATAGTATCATGATCGATTATAAATAAATGGATATAAAATTGTTAAGCTGTACATTTTAATGGAAGTCAGCAATTCTAAGCGATTAAACTTAAGTACAAAGAGGGTAATTAGAGGGTAATTGAATTAAAATTGAAAGTGGATTGTAAGACGAGGTAAGATTTGGTGTTTCACAGCAGCTTAGAGACAATTGGAACCGTCAGTGTAACCGAAGTGTGCAAGTGCTGCGTTATGGTTGATTAGTCTGAGAGTCGAAAGTGCCATGTCGGTGAGATTAGGTCAAAATCGATGTTACTCTGTTCAGATCTTAAATTGAAGAAATTAATATAACTGTACGTCTCTTCGCCTATACATTTTAACGGTACATTTTAAAGCTTGGTGTTTACGGCAGCGAAGAATCTCGTCGACCGCCTGCAATCAGGCTCTACTCACACTCGTGATGTATCAGCACCAGAAACTTGTCCACGTCCGGCTGCTCCTTTTCCCTGTACAGAAATTGTACTCGCACTTGCTTGGACCTCTCCATCTCCAGATCGTGCACTCTGGCGTCGTCGGTCGTCAACTCTACAATGTATACTCTGTAGAATTCGCCGTGGGACACGTGTTCGTGATCCGAGCAGCGATCCTCCGTCGCAGGAACCGACGTCTCCTGGTGACTCCTCTGCTTCGTCACGTATCCCATCAGGGTGCGACTCTGGTTGACAGTGGCTTGGACGATGTTCAGCACCTCCGAGAAGCGGCGCAGCACCTGAAATCCAATCGACGTCAAAGACATCCGCTTGGCGGCGGGAAGATCCTCCTCGCTCGCGATCCTCACCTGTAATTTATTGTCAGTCTGGTCGTAGCGGCCGACCACGGTGCACGACGTACACGAACCGTCCCTCTCTGATTCCTCCACCCACCCAATGAGTATCGAGCCATCCTTCTCCTGCCCAAGTAGCTTCCATTGCTCGGCTGAGGAAACAAAGAGAGAGAGAGAGAGTTAATCACCTCCTCTTGATAAACAGAACTTATTCAAGTCCCCAATATTACATCTGGCCAAGCACTTAATGCTAGCACGTCTAGACCATGCAAACGTTTCATTTCCGATATCAAACGCTGGGCAGACAACAGCACGAGAGACGGCATTAGACGCGTAGCAAGATGCTAACACCTTTTGTTAGCAATATGAAAGCAATTTGCGCCCACACACTGGCTATCTGGGAGATAAGCCACTCCAGCAATCGCACTTTCCACTTGACAAATTGACAGTTACCTGCGCTGGCGTTTTCCGACAAGAGCAGGCATAATTTCGCCGCGAGGTTCTCTATCATATCTGCCGGAGGCAACGGTCCCCGAATAACTCACGTCCCCTCGAGCGTCCACCCGCGTTTCAGCAGCGACAGCGAAGAAAACACGTTTCTCTCCTAGGCGATGCCACCGTTCACCTCGAATCCCCGTTGTCGTCTGCTGCAGTCTGCTGCGAAGTCGAGCGAAGTCGAGCGTAGTCGAGCAAAGTCGAGCAAAGTCGAGCGAAGCCGAGCGAAGCCGAATCGCCGCGGGATCGGCGAATCGACGCACCGCGCCGGGTTGAAGCTAACGTGTCATTTAATTCAATCTGACAATTCCGTCGAAACATAGAGAAAAAGGCAGTCTGCGTTCAGAGATTAAACCGAAGTGGATAACCTAACCTAACCTAACCTAACCTAACCTAATCAAGTCTGCTCTGACAGGTATGTTTACTCCCTCCTCTCGCCCTCTCTACTTGGAGGAATTACGCGTTTTTTCCGTTCCAGTCCGCTGCTCGGCTTGCTCATCGTTAGTTAGTCGCTCGCGATCCTCTCGTGAACGAAGCACGGCTTTTGTGGGAGAAATGATTGCCGGACGTGCGTTGCATTTTGTGTTGAAGATCCCGGATCGCGCATTAACGGCCAAGTTTTACCGCGAGGTCCTCGGGATGAAGGTAAGATTTCGCGTTCCCGCTTCGCTCCCTTTTCTCTGCACCCTCTCTTCGTCGCGAGGCTCAACTTGTTGATTGTCTGGTCGCAGGTGCTGAGGCACGAGGAATTCTCGGACGGATGCGAGGCCGCTTGTAACGGGTGAGTAATCTCGTCACTCGTCATTGCGGTGTAACAATAATTTTTGTCATAACAACTCGCTCTTTTCGAAGCAACGAGGAAAAGAACATTTCTAGCGTTGTACTAATCATAGACGGGATACAAGATATAGGACTAGATGTATGTCAATTATGGATGTGTATCTTTATATTTTTCTGACGCCTTTACTTTTAAACACAAAGGAACAAAGGACTAAGGTCTGGTTGTACCACTATTGCTTAACTTTAAGCTTAGCTTAATTCGTTCTTTGTCTCTTTCCAAGTGTTCTTTGTCCCTTAGAAAGGGACAAATATGAATTAAACTAAGATTAAAGTTAAGCAATGCTTTAACATTAAGCTTAGCTGAATTTGTTCTTTGTCTCTTTTCAACTGTTACTTTAGAAAGAGACAAATATGAATTAAACTAATTGTCAGATTAAAGTTAAGCAATGTTTGGTGAAGCCAGGCGTTAGTCTTTTATTCTTATGTGTTTATTACATGTAGGCCTTGTGAATTTGATTAGTCGGTTAATCCTTACTTTCAATTTTCTTTCCCAAGATATATGATGCGTATCAAGGCTGTTCGCAACCTTCGTCGATATCCACACTTGCAATTGCCACAATCTGTAATGTTACAATACAAATTTTATATTATAACTGTCTTCTGTTGGTCAATCAAATCGCTTACGGTTGCTTGCTGGTCAAATTGTTTAACCACTTGCGGTTGTCGCGCTGCTCTGTGAGTGCGGTTCTTTCATCCCTTTTTATTTTTGCAGACCGTACGCGAATCGCTGGAGCAAAACGATGATAGGGTACGGCCCCGAAGACACTCACTTCGTGATTGAGTTGACGTATAATTATGGGGTCAAGGAATACGAATCTGGGAACGACTTTAAGGCCATCACTATTCGTTCGAAGGACGCGCTTGAAAGGGCGCGCGCGAAGGGCTGGCCAGTGCACGAGGAAGACGGCAAGTTTGTGATACAGGCACCCGGTGGATACAGATATTACATTGTTAACGAGCAGCAACCTGCCAACAGCGGTAGATACATAGCTTTATTCACCGTGAAGTTATAATGTAAATCACTTTGTGAGTGAGTCTGTAACTTACAGAATACAGTTATAAGCTAAAGCCAACGGCACGCGATGCCATTTTTCCCTACTGGATTGCTTACGAGAGCCAATAAGGACGCGGAGTTTTAGATCGGATGACGAGGCTAAATCCTGTTCGACTCTCGTAAGCAATCCAGTAGGAAAAATAGTATCGTGCGCCGTTGGCTCAATACACGAGAAAGAAGATAAACAATTGTAATGTCACATTTTTAGCAAAGCTATTACTATTATTTTTTAATGTACTGATTGCTTCAAACAGATCCTGTTGAGAAAGTAACTTTATCCAGCTCCAACCTTGAACGTACGATTGCCTATTGGAAAGATATGTTGGGATTAAAGGTGTTTGACAGGAAAGATAAAAGCGTATTGATGGGCTACAGCAAAGATCAAGCTAAACTTGAATTTGAAGATATTGGTGAGTATATGTAATATATATTTTAAATTTTGAGATTAAATTTATAATTATCGACTAATAGCGAATTCAGTTGCTTGCACTAGTGCGCCAGTGCGCACTCAGTAGTGCACACAGAGGCTTGTTTACAGTCAATTCTTATATTCAAGAATCGTCTTAAATATCTCTTGAAATATTTTGTAGCCAGTAAAATGATCTATGTGGCATCCATACGGATCATTTTTCGGCTACATACTCTTTGAGCGTGTATTTAAGACAAAGTTAAATATAAAAATCGACTATAAACAGGCCTTAGTGTGCATTCAGTGCACACTAGTGCAAGCAATCGAATTCGCTATAAGTGTTTTGTATTTTTGTATGATTTAAATTATTTATTTGGTGTATCAGGCACTGAAGTTAATCATGCAAAAGCATATGGACGTATCGCTTTCTCGATACCATTTTCGGAGCAACGCGCGATCCAAAAGGCTATTAAAGAAAGTGGAAATAAAATCTTGACCGACCTGATAACTCTAGATACACCGGGGAAAGCTTCCGTGAGAGTTATCATTCTTGCTGATCCGGTAAGTACTTGCGATGCCTAAAACAAAACGCCGTGCGGTCGCATTTTATAAATCTTGTATGTTTTGTATTTGTTTTCTAGGATGGACACGAGATCTGTTTTGTAGATGACGAGGGATTTAAACTGCTCTCCGTTCCAGATTATCCGAGCGAAGCAATTTTAGACAGATGCATTAAAAAGGAGGCGACGAATAAGGCGTGAAAAACTACATGTTCTATCGCTGAAGTATTATTTGTAATTTGAAACAAAAATAATATTAAGTTCAGACACTAATGGTGGTGGGATGTAAGTTGTAAAGAGTTTAATACTTAAGTGATGCGAGACATATCAAAATGAAAATAAATGTAAATATGCAAATAAAAAATGTTCTCGTTTTTTGTACGACTGAACTTAATTTCTTGTATCAAATTGCGCGGGATTAAATATTATGTACCTGCATGCATATTTATGGTCAAAGAATTATCGCAAATGTCCATAGGCCATATTCCCCAGTACTTTGGTATTCGAAGTTGTACTCATGTTTAGTATTAAATGACATCTCGAGCTGATTACAAATATGTCGGTGCCAAAGTGCAACTCTTTCCCGTTCTCGCGAGAAAATCCCTAAGGGCCCCATGGTCAGCAGATGGTGCCTGGCCATGGGATTTTCGGGCCCATTTTCTCGGAAAACACGTACACTTTGGCACTGACGTATTTAATCAGCTCGACGAGATCTGTCGAGATTTGATGCACAATCACAACTTCGAGTGTGAAAAAATAGAGGTGAACAACTTGCGGGCACTTTTTAATTAAATTTGATTACACAGCAATTTAATATTAAATTTCTCAATTTGGTTGGGAATCTTGTATGAGTAGAAAATTTGACACTCGTGATCTTTTCCTAGAAATAAGAGATACTGACGCTTAGGCGTAGTAATTCTTGCGATACTGGCGTTTATCAACTGCAATTGAAAGCATTTAATTGTATTAGTGTGGGATCAATGGGTCAATAACGTAATCTTTCAATGTGCCTGTAGTATTACTAAGAAATACGCAATATACTAAGAAGAGATGCTGATAAACGTAAGAAAAACATATGTATATTTATCATTCCACAGCCACTAAGCACGCCAGTTTCTTCAAATCAGTGCAAGACTTTCGTTGTTTCCACATGATAGAGATGAACATCCGAATCTTGCTGTTTCTCTTTCTTCTAGCGCTTCTTGTAACCGGTAAGTAAAGAGATATACAATACAATTTTCTATAAAAATATACAACTATATTAAAAAGTATATCTTTAAATGTTTTCCACACAAAACTTGTACAAATAGTGTTATGTCTCGCGCCAAGTATTAGCTAGCTAGATTTTATTACATTGAGATAATAATTTGGTAAATTAGCCTAGGTGATTTTTTATTTTCTAACTTTTTCAGCCGCGTATCTTAAATAAACTTTTTAATATATCGGTGAAAAAAATAACGCGTAGATTTTATAAACAAATCTATTTTATTTTTAGACGATGTGAATGCAAGATTTAGTTTCTCGCGAGGCTCGTCAGGACGAGGCTCGTCATCACGAGGCTCGTCACGAGGTTCATCTGGATCCGGCTCATATGGACGTTCATCAAGTACTCACACGAGCTCAACTGGATATGGAAGTTCATCTGGTAGACATACG